CCATGACTGAAAACTTGACTTTTGTCGTAGCTTTGCACAAAATGTATTCTCGCACAAATTTTAGAGCCTTGACATATCTCAATTTAATTCGCTTGAGTGTGCCTAAAGTTATTATTGTGCTTTTGAGTCTGTTCTACCAGTACCATGGCAACACCCGAAAAAATGATTTTTTTATTAATAGCAGACTTTTACTTCTATCAATCTTTCATTGTAAATAAACACTCGGAACACAGTCATTTACCTGATTTTGTATTCGCAACACTTGCTTAAGCATTATGAACTGTCTCTTCATCATCTCCTGGTCTTGGTTGTCATGGCGACTAAAGAGGAATCCATTGACGTGACAAACTGCTATCAGGTACAATACAGGGGACCATGTCGATTTCACAACATTGGACACTAATGCTGATAAATACAGTTGTAGTAACTCCACGTGAGATTCCTGTGGTGTTAGGTATCGATGCATTGGGAGTAAACACTTGTAAACAAAAAAATAAAACAGGTAATAAATAAGCAATAGTGGAATGAGTGAATTTTACAGCAATTGTAGATTTCTGTAATTGAATTCATTCTCCTAGCTAGGAATGTTGAAAGCTGACTCATTGATATGATATTTTACATGTGTTTTAAAATATAATTAGTATGTGGCTATCATACTGTGACATCTTATGTTTATATTTTTGCCAACAAGTGTGCGAATGTGCGATCTGCAGCGATAACGTTGCCCATAAGTTATTAGTTATTTTTGCTGACCAGTCACAGCACATGCACGCAAAATGTAAACAAGGGTGACAGCCAATAGCATCAGTGAAATACATCAATGTGATTTATCGTAAACGCACACCATAACATACCCATATCAGAGTATAGAAAAAAGTAACAGCTGGCAACAAACTTAATTTCCACCTACAGGGTAGTTGTCAACTAATTTAGAACTTTCAATTTCTGATCATCATGTGAATCGTTATATCTGCCATGCAGTGTTGTATTCAATATGGATCACATGCGAAACATACAACACATGTGAATAAAATGTTTGTGTACACAAAACTCAAACACATGCTTTACTATGACTGTGGTGCATAATAAAAAACTTCATCGCCACACGTCTTACTTCGTCAATCTTTAGAGTGATTGCTCTGATGACATGCTGGTGTTCTCCCCAAATCGCTTTACGAAACTCGATATTGTAGCGTTGTTGTAGTGGTAATAACATAAATGTTGCAAACAACGAATCTCCAAACGACACACCCCCATACTGGACCACAAATACCATATAACTGAAACAGAAATGAGATACTATTATCAGAATATCCATCATCAATTCAGTTTTAATTTTGTGTATTACCGTAAAAACTCGATTAATTCGTGGTCTCTATTAATTCGCGCACCCATTTTATTTTCGAACGCTAATTTTTAAATGTATCCTTTTAAATCGCGGCGTTCAAAAACATGTTTACAATTGTATCCTATTAATTCGCGGGCCAGAATAAAGTGGATAACTCAGAATATATTGCATGAAGACATTAAAAATATACATTTTGTTTGAGTTTTTATGTTATCAGTACTTGGTGTAGCCGCAATCGCGAATGATCTCCGTCGTCACAGCCTTTCAGTTAGCAAGCAGTTTAGGTTCGGTAAAGATTGTTCCCACGACACTACAGATGTTGGGCAAGATTATTACTTAGTCGATAAATATTCATCGGTCAGCACATCGATTACGAATTTCCGTGATGGAAAGCTTAGTACAGGGCTTTTTCGTCGCTGGTCCACAGGGTTGCATCGACCGTGTGTCCGCCATTATTCTATTACCGGATTCGGCTGATACCCCGCCCTGGGCGATCTTATGGAGGATTCGATTTTTTTTTAGAAAAATGTGGACCAAAAGATCTTTTGGCAGATATTACGAGGCCCATCTTGTCTAAAAAAATAACCCTGCGTTGATAGAAATGGTCTAGAAAAAATAATGTTTCGCGTTGACCAAATATAATCATGCAAAGTATAAATTCAAAGTGTTTTAATACATTGGTGAGAGGTCGAATTTTACGTGAACAAGAACATGCACTAAGAAGGAAAAGCAAGTCAAAGTCGAAACGGGGTGCATCATGGACATGACACAACACACGCTGCGACAACTGAGTGATTAGCGACATAATTTTGGGACGCAATTGAACTTGAAGTACTTCTTTGCGAAACTTGCTGCGCGGTGATGCTGGCATCAAGTGTGTGTTGACCCATGGAACTACTGACGTATTTTTTGTCCAAGAAAGACGTTCCATTTCATTTAACCCCCAGTTAACTCTTCGCGTCCATGGTATTTGTGAGAGTTGAAAGATTTTTTGAACAAATGACAAGTACCGGTAACTATATTGATTTGCGTCAAGCTGGGTGGCCCGAATTTAAATATCAGTGCATGAACTCTGGAGGTCATTGCCCAATGCCGCACGTAATTCAAACGCGTGGTTAAAAAAAACTAATTATCATGAAAGCAAAACATTACGATGTTGAAATATTCAGAGCCGGTACAATATTGTAAACAAATTTGCGTAATTAAGAAAAGCAAGTGCACTAAGTAAACGACGTTGATATAGTCATAGCCAGTACAGAGTTGCATACAAGTTGCGTAATTACAGTACCTTCGGATATTTGTATATTTTTTTATT